TTAGGCATGGAGTACGGTGTGGTGCTGTAGAAAAAAGCACTAAACTACTAACCACAAAGTTGGTGGTTCAGACCTTTCAGCTACTTCTTCCGAACCCTATACAGGGTCGCCATATGTCAGAACCAACTCAATGGCACTTAACAACAACAAAAGCAACATGTAGGCACAGGATTAAGCACTGAACAAGACAGACAGTTAAGCAAATGATAGAGGAAAGCAATATTTTGAAGGATTGGAAGCCAAAATAAGCATGACATACAAGAGGCCTTCAAAAATATCATGGAAAACTGAAATTAAAGGATACTGGAATTTTCCCATTTTGAAGTCCCTTTATATATAAAAGATTCAAGAAAGTCCAATTGAAATTAATTAAAGAAACAATAAGAAAGAGAAGACATATATATTCAAGGTCCAAATCATAAAAGTCCTGACAAGTGCAGTGAAACTCACTAGAGATTTTTAAGCAGAAAAATATTGGAAATGTGATCAGACCTTCATTTTCAGATGATTGTTATGCCTACATACAGAGTAAAAACTGCCTAGGACAAGAAAACCAACAAGGGGTTACTATAATTGACTTGGTTAAATAATACTGATGATTTGGACCAAGATGGTAAAAAAAAAGGTGGACCACAACCAGGGATTTTTAAGTTGTAATATCTATTAGCTTAGTGATACCTCAGATGAGACTAGAGGTTGAGTAAGATGATGAGTTGAAAGATAAAATCTTCGGGTTTGGCTTGAGGGGTGCTTCTGATTGACTGACTTAGAAAACAAGGGAAAAAGGGGAGAAGAAATGAAGGTGATTCATTTGCATTTCCTTGAATATCTATGAAGTAGAACATTGAACACAATATTTACTCAACACATATTTGGCAAATACATCTATTATTGAACAAACTACCATTTGTTAATTTCTCAACAGTATAGACCTTAAAATAATTGGATCTAAAATCAGAAAACTGTGGGTCTCATTCCCAACTCCATGTTAGTCGAATTACTGAATCATTCTGTGGTACAATTTCCTTATTTAAAAAGGGAAGAGGAAGGTGGAAAGCAATAATATCTACCTTTACAAATTACTGATAGGCACTCTTTGTTTGCCAAATACTTTGCAGTGTTTTTTGTTTTATTTCAAATTTGACATTTAAATTTCAATTTGGTTTGCTATGTCTTTTGCAACTAAAATGTCTTCTGTAAATTCTGTTTCTTCACAGTTCTTGGTTTTGGTTATGATTAAGAGGAGCTTTTCTTTTCTTAATATTACACAGATATTTTCTTACATTTTCTTTAGAAGTTTGATTTCTATATTTTACAATTATATTAAGAATGTACAAGGGATTTATCTTTATATATGAGATGTGGCAGAGCACTCATTTTTCTTCCCAAATATGGTTAGCTAGTTAATTACTGTGTAATGCACATGACTCACTTATTTTACATGTTATTTTGTCATACATATCAAATTTCCATATAAAACAAAATATTCTTTTAAGTAACTGATGATGAGTATAGAAAAGTGTCTAATGCTACATTGTTTTACGAATGAAAACTATGACCTCCATAATATTCATTAATAAAGCAGGGGTCAAATAAACTATGATAAATCCATATAACATTGTCCAGTCATGAAATATAAGATGTAAAATCTTCCATGTACTTACATGAGAAGAAGTCCATAATATATTGCTAAGCAGAGAAACAAAACAAAATGTGAAAAAGACATGCTGAAAAGCAGTATTCATAATAAGTTTTTAAGAGTTATTGAAGGGCACTAATCCAGGACATATACAGAGACTGCCACACATTTTGAAAAGTACACAAACAAAAATAGACAAAACAGACGAGTGGGACATACTAAAAATTAAAAACTTGT